AGCTGTTTTGGGAGCAGAGAACTGTTGAGAATATTGACAAGTGAAATGATATGTTGTATTTTTTCAGTAATAGAATTTTTATACCCAGGAGTTGAACATTTTATTCCTCCCTCATTCACCTGCAAAAATATTGATTCTGTACAGGCCTTTGTTATCATAAACTATTGTGCCATAGACAAAGGTAAACAGCATTCTTACCTCTCTGGGTGTGTAGTCAGATAACCCAGGCTGTAAACTGGAAAGTATTTTTTGCTATCAGGCTCATTGGCCGGCCTAGCAAACTCCACGGGTATCTGTATCAGCTGCCTTGGAATTGCTTTTGATGTGATTAGGCTACTAATTAGCTGTCTCAATTCTTTTCTCCCTCCTGATGTTTTCTTTTGATTCACATTGACTCAGAGGAGTCTGCATTCAGTGTATGTTTGTTTTTGTGTTTTGTCTAAAATCCTTAATGATAGCTTAGACTGTCCTCTTTTGGTTGAGAGTTTCCCTCTGTAGACATACCTTTTCTGTTAAATAGGTGCATCAGGATTTTTCTCTTAGTTGGTACTTTGCAAGGTGTAAAAACAGTGTGTGGTCAGGGTGCATGTATATGTGCATATTCATTTAAAGTGTGCTAAGGGTTTTACAGTCTGAAAGAGAATGTGCATAGTTACTTCAAAACCATCAAAACCATAATACATGTTTACTACTCATATTCACCAAATAGTAACCTTACAATTAAATTGTTATGTAAAGTTAGTTAAATAACAGCAGAAGTTATTGTATTAAGGCCCACTTTGCAAGGAAACCAATGACAAGGAAACCATGAAACACACTAATAGATTATATGCCATAGCAATATATTGCCTTTTTATTACTTTTCCACAGGCAGCAGATTCCTGTACAGTTATTATTACCTACATTATCTGCTAGTTTTCTATCAAAAAAGCTTCAGTCTATTGAATCATTAATCTAATATTTATCATTCTTATTGAAAATCCACTAGTGTTAGCACTGTATAAAATATTGACTCAAACCACGACAACTGGTTTTGCTAAAGATTAAAAACATATTAACCTGAAAAGCACAGTATTTCCTAAGACATTTTAAAACTACTCATTGTGGATATTTGAAATGACAATTTTTCTGTGTTGTCTGAGGAATGATTTTTTCTTAAATCTTTAGCATACAGTAAGTGACCAGTCCCATCCTGATTTGAAGATGCTGAGTGTTCATCCAACACGTATTTGAAATTTTGATGTGTATTGCATTAGTTACTGAATATCAAGAATAAAATTTTTACTCATACATAGAGTGTAAAATGGGATCTTTTGTAGCAGCACACGGTCTGTTTAGAATGATATAACAGGTGCTGAATGTTCAGATATCAAACAAAATGCCATCTTTCTGTAGAAAAGAGGTGTCAAAAAGTTTCTTTGTACCTTTAACGCATGTGATTATGTAGTACAAAATGCAGAGTTTGTAAAATTTCTTGAATATACAGGCAAAAAATGAATAATTCAAAACAACTCATAAGTTCTACATTCTATTGTATCTTTTATAACACAGGCAGAAGATAGCATTGTGTTCCCAGTAGAGCTGAATTTGCACAAGTTACACCTCGGAAAATGCCAGATGGTCTATGGTCTACTTTTGAGAGCTGTCACATATGTAAAGATTTGAAAAAAGAAAGACAGCTGAATGAGAGCAGTGGATCATTAAAGAGAGAGTGAGAGTCCCTGGGTATCACTGTGTTTTAAGAAGCATTGTGTCGTTCCTCATATTACACCTTTTTTTTTTTTTAAGATATACACAACCTTTAAAAAATAAGGTAAAAATATTTCTGTTTTAAACTGAGGTGGTTGTGGTTTAATCTCAGAACTGTCAATTGCTTTTGTTCTTTATGCTAGAATGCGGTCATATGGTTCCTAATTGGTTTCAAGTGTGTTTTAACCATAATATTCAAGTCTCCCTAGTGCAAAATTATCAATAAAGTTAAAATAAATTTAAATTGAGATAACTAATCCATTTGGGGTTTTATTCCATTTTGATTTGACCTGCATATAACATTTGAATAGTGTAAAGCCAGTCAGCTAAAAAGTTGTATGTTAATGCTAGAAGACTCGAGTACTTTGGGAACAGGATAAGTTAATAAAAAATTAAAATTAAAAAAACATAGAAAACTCCAAACCCTTAGTAAAAATAATAATAAAATCAAAACCATAACTGTTTAGATTTCCCAGGACTTTTCATTCACCTACAGTTTGACAGAAACACACCTAATTTTGCAGATTGAATTTTGGATAATTTGTCAAGTTATTGTATCATAGCAAAGACCCAAAAATACACAAACAATTGTAAGCTGCCACCACCAATTTAGCTGGCTTGGAAAAAGTCATAACTGTTAGTTTTAGAAACTGGCATCAGACACAGAGAATTTTAGAATAGTTCTTTAGAATAGTTTAGAATAGCTTTTGTTTATTGAGGACGGTTAACCCCTCCCCAGTAATTCTATTTGATGCAATTGCACCACTTCACACTTGGAGATCATAGACAGTGCAGACTGAGGAAACATCATTACATGGACCATGAAAAGTGGGATAATGAAAATAAACTTTGGGGATGCTAAGGACATAAACATTGAATTTTGATTTCTAATGTTGACAGATATTTTTGACTGTGTTTAGGTCTCCATTGCCTATTTTTAAAATGGAAGGAATGACTTGATTTTTAACAAAATTAATTTTGCACATACATGGAAAGGGAATCTACAAAAATCTATGCTTTTAATGATATTTATTCAGATAGGGAAAGGCTCCCTAAAAATTTGTTTTGGGACCTTTATATAAGTCTGGAGAAGTTAACCAAATATATACTACAAATTGAATTTCAAAGTGAAGAAAGTGCCTTGCTTATGCTTCTGTTTGTAGGTTTTGCAAACACTAATGCAAAATTGAAGAAGCATTGTCAGAAGAAGCTTTGAAGAAGCATTTTCAGCATTGTCAATAAAAACGTCTTTGGGCAATAATTAATTGTTCAGGTATCAGATAGTGTTGTGCTCCTACTCTGTTGGCTTGGAGGTTTGTGAGCAGTTACTGCTGGTAAAGGAAGTGAACAATCTTTGGTCTTTGTCTTCCCTGTAAAATCTTTGGGGAGGCTAAAACCTAAATGTTTCCCCCAGCCCTCTCTTTATTTCCAGCAACAGAAAATTATCACTTTGGTAAGGTAGGTTCAAGCGTGGTTACTTTGACCTGGATTGATGTGGGCAATCAAGTCGATTTGCTGAAAATCTTAGTGGCGATGAGCGAAAAAATCGAATAGCAAGAAAAAAAATGAACCATTTCATATTTAAACTATTCGCCTGTGACTAGTATGTAAAGTTTATGATTTATATGAAGTTTAGTCTGAAAAAGTTTATGATAGTTGAAGGAAGCAATCTGAGAATGGTCAGTGTCCTGAATAAAAGGGAAACATTGAGGATTTGTTAGGCAAATTTAGAACTGAGAGTCTTTTTAGAGACCTTGTTGGTCTATATGACCCAGTCATATTTGTCTGAAAATTTGGTAACTTGTACCTGAAGTGATCAATGGAGATGTTTCTTTTTAGAGAAAGCTAATTATAATTATCTATATGTGTTGTTACCTTGTACACAGCGTAATATGTATATGAATGTGTACTGTGAAATCATCTGAAAATGGATGTGAACCGCCTGAAAAGAGAATGAACTGCAGCACTGTTTTTCTTTACCCCTGACACTAATTTCTCTTCAGTTGAGTCTCTAGTAGAATCTGGACTTTCTCCTTGACATAAAATTTATAAATTGTTGGAGATTGGACTGTCTGAAAACTTCTTTATGTCCAAGCATGATGCAGTGATGTTTTGATTGGGAGATGTGATTGAGCTTATGTTTTTTGATTGTGTAATCTTGTTGTGATACTATGTGTATAGTTTAATTAGTTTTCCAACAAAGTCTGCATTTTTTTCTATATAAGAATCGTTAAATTGAAACGACTTTTGTATTACGAAGCTTTACATAAAAAAAAAAATCCTACATCTTTTCTTTAGTTACAGACTTTAAATACATAGGCAGCCTCTTTTCTATGTTATTATAATTATTCTTCTGTATGATACAGTAGCTCAACACAGAACGATAAAGTTTCATGCTTACTCATTAGAATGAGTTTATAACGTGTACTCTCAGAGTCTTAACTAGGTCACTGCAGATTCTTGCCTTGACAGGTTCTGTATTTTTTTATCTTTGACCATTTCAGTATGTTGCCATTAAATTCCCAACCGGCCCATTACAGCTATTTCTAAAATTGTGATTCTGATTTGAAGAACATGGAGGGGTGAACTCTGGCTTGCCACAACTGTTTGAATGCATGTGCCTTCTGGTTACCTCCTCCACAAAACCAGATTTTGTTTGGTTTTGTACTTCCCAGCAATCCATGATCTTTATGAATTAAGCTCAAAATGTTGTTAGTTACCTGGATACTCCTCTTCTTCTTCTTTAATATACTGGTCTGTGGTGGCTGTGTATCGGGGGACCCCTACTGTGTCACTAAGGTTATTTTCTGAAGACTTGCAGGTTGGCCAACCTGCAACTGAAATTCTGTTCTGCGGTCTGTATGTTCACTCCAGTACTTTTTTCTCTCATTTGATTGCATTTCCCCCATTATTCACTTGGTTCCCTTAGTACAAGTTTATCTCAGTTTTGCTACTTTGTTTGCCATGCTCGACTTTTTCCTTTCTTCAAATTGCTTGTCTTATGCTTTCTGTGTAATTCACAGTCTTGCAGTGCTGAATGGGGAATCTAGACCTCATGCATATATGATGTGCTTTTTGAATACCTACTAATTATTTTTAATTTAGAGATATTTTTTGCTCTGTTGTTTTGCTTTCTTGTCAGTCTATTATTGGATCAATAAGAGCAATGACAGTTCCATTCCCGGTCTAGCCTAAAGTGTTCAGTTATCAATTTACAATTTAAATTAACCCTTTCTTTCTTTCCTTTGAAGCGCAACCTCAACGTTTGCCTCAGCCGAATACTTCAGCACTGGAAAGGGGTGAGGAAGAAAGTGGCAAAATCCAAAATGGCCACGTGGGTCTGGGTAATGGAAGTGGACTTCACAACGGGGTCAAGCACATACCTGCAGACAACAGAACACTTTCAGCTCCCGTTTCAGAAAAAATGCACAGAAAAATTCAGTCCACCTTGTCTGTCAACAGCAACGGCAGCCAAAAGAGTAAAATAAGTTCTGTGTTTTCTCAAAAGCCAGGTACTTCACCAGAAGGTAAGCTGATATTCTTAATTTTAAAACCCCAAACTGAATAAAGACCAACCAAGCACCATTCTCACAAAAAATTACACAATTAACAGAAAATAATTGAAGAGTGTGAACTCATGCTCTAGAAGCAAATGGAAGCCATTATGATAAAAGACATGATTCTTTCCCAGAGGAAAATATTAAGTATTTGAAGGAAAGGAAAGCAATTGGAGAGTTCTTGCTCTCAAATATTTGATCAATATAGTCTCATAATGCATAAGTCTCTGTAGTTAGTATCCTGAAGTGACAGAAACTCCTGTCAACATTGTCACATATGCACCAGAAACAAACATTAAAGTACTACTAGTTTAAAGCATAGTAAGTATTTAAATCCAGTAATGGCAGGCTCCGTGAGGGTGGACTTTGCTTTTGAAATATTCTGTTAACATATATCCTGACTAGCCATGAAGTCTGAACACTAGATAATAAAATTTCAGTGTTTAGCATGCCTTATGCTATATTTGAGCAGTAAATAATGTGCATGAAAATGCTTCATAGTCCTTCTGCACAGCTTAAATAAGCAGAAGTAAATAATTTCCCTTATGTTTTAGCTCTGTCTCACTGCTTGCAATTACACTCATGGTCCCAGAGTTCCTGACTCTCTCCTCGATCCACTGCCTTCCCATTAGCACTAATATACTTGATGGGCTTTGCTACTGCCCATTACGAGAAGGGTGCAGGCACGCTGTAAATTTTATTGGTTTGAGGCAGGCATAGATGTGACTGGTTAAAAAAACCCCTCCAGTGGTTTGTACCGTGGGTACAAACACAGATTCTTAGAGAAATGGGAGACAGTACTGTTCAGTGAAATGGGGAGGATTCTCGGCCTAGATGAAAGGAAGAGGGATCAGAAGGACTGCATGTAGTGGCCTGAACGAAGCCTACTGATGTCAGTGGAGTGAGTTCTCTTGACTTCAACTACTTCAGTCAAACTTACTCAGTGAATCTGTGTAGTGATATCAAGAACGGCTTCACTCAGACTATTCCATGGGCTGGTCTTCCTTGCTGTTGTTTATTTTTATATTTATCTTCAAGAACCTACTGTTATTTTTCTGTTGTACTTTCAGTCCTCTAATTTTTCTTTCCAAAATCACATCATACTTCCTGTATTCCCTTTTCTGTTATGTGAAATACAGTTTACCCTCCGGCCTGATATTTTCCTTATATGTTTTTCCTCAGTGCACTTTCAAAAAACTAACTTACGAGACCTAGATCTGTTCATGTGAGTGTAGAAAGTCAGTCTTTAAATTCAGGCCTCTGAATTTAAGAAATTCAACCTCTAAAAAAGAAGCACCTGCAGAGTTCTAAAGAGACAGTGCCTTCCCTGTCCTTTCCCCTATACAATTAATTATGGCAAACACTTCTTTTTTTCTTCTAAAATTATATTGCAATAAATACAGCTGGTGGGATTTTTTTTGTTGTTTAATAACCATGAAAATAATTATGTCAAGTTACTGAATAGTTTAGAAAATGGATAAGATACCTTCAGATTTGGCTTTAAATTCTAATATCTGATTTTAATATCCAACACATGATTGTGTTGGTTGCCTCAAACTGCCAATATACAGTATTTTTATATACAGTCAGAAATGTTGTTATTTTTAAAGGCATATATGAGTACAATTTAGATAATTACATAGTATTGTCGCACTGTATTACTTGCATTCTTTCAAAGTACAGAAGTACAGGATAATCCTTACTGTTACACGTGGTTTCTTGAGTCACCGTAATAGCTAAAATTAAATATAGTTAATATTGTACATCTAACTTTGTACTATTCTCATTTTGGATGTGGGAACTTGGATATATGCTCTCAATAGCTTGATCGGTGCTGCTAATGTCTGTAGCTCTAAGTTTTCTGTTAATTAATCTGAGTGAAGCACAAGTTTTATTGTGCAATGATTAAAGTATGTCTGGTGTATTGGGATATGCCAATAAGAGAATGTCTGTTTTTTAAAATAATTTTCTGGTTTTGAAATTTATTTTACTTTACAGTTGTTTGACAGACATGTTTTATATTTGTGTAACCACATCTGCATGCACACATATACAACCCTTCTGACAGTTTCTTCAGCTTTTCAGTGATGTACCCTGTGGGGGGCTTCATGGGGGAACTAAAAGCTATAAGTAATACTCTTATCAAGCTTTTGCCTTGCAGGAAGTATCATTACATACTTTATTTGTCCTATCATCTCACAGTGTTTTTTATAAGATGCACAGTCAGAGACTCTAGAAATGGTCAGTTGAAATATCTAAATATTTATATAATATATATATAAAATGATATAAATATAAAATGATTTATCCATAATTTTAAAATAATTTCGTTATTACTATAAGTCATGATAACCCCTTATGACTACTTCTGGAAGATTTGCTCTCTGGTATCTGGTTCAAAAACCTTATATACTTAGCCAGGTTATTTTTTCAAAGGAGTTTAATTTCATTTAAACAATATATTTGTGTATATATATGTTTGATGAATGCATCTAACTGTACTAAACCAGAAGAGTATATCAGGAAGCTCAGTGACTAAGAATTGCATAGACACTCTTTCAAAATGGTATACATAGTTTCATTTGAACATAACTTCTATAACTTCACTGTATGATGAATCATACTTTTGTGGGCAAAGAGACATTTTTCTGAGCCGTTGCCTGTTCTGATGCAATGACGTTTCTGTAGCAACTATTGAAAAGACTTACAAGAAGATGGAAAAGATAGGAAACTATTGGAAATTATTTGCAACATTGCTTAACTGATTGGCTTTGATTTAACTTGTACCATGTTAACCTCATAAGCCACTGGTTACTGCTGAAGAGCTGCAGGGTTTGAATTTCCTTGAAGGTGTGTGTTTGTGTTTGGACACATCTATATGGTAATATAACTTCTATGTAGTATCTTATGTAGCCTTATGGAGAAAGAGACAAACTATATTTATTTTGTACTGTGAGTATCGAGTAATGAATCACCTGAACTAACTCACCAACTTAGTTTACTGTAGTATCCAGAAAATTTTAGTAGAAAAAAGTATGGGTAAACTTGTACACTTCCAGATATTTAAATTAATTTTTTTTTTTGCTATTTCTTATGTAGTACCTTGGATTTTGTAATCTAATTAATAGATTTTTAATAATTAATTAATAGATTTTCTAATTAATAGATTAATTAATTTCCAGGTTAAAACCTGAAAATACGCATCCTGTATTTTTACTTCATCTACCTAGTCTTCCTCCTTGAGTGTTCTGCTCTGTTGTCAGTCAGGAGAATAGCTGAAATCAAGTAAAGGAAAGTGGCCAGAGAAAAGAAATATGTTATGTCCTCAGAAGGAAGAAAAGTGAGAATTCTGAGTTTAGACTATAGAAAAGAGAAAATATTTTTCACCTTTTCTTATTCCCTCCCAAAAGCTGCATTCTTCTTGATTCTTCTTAAAAGACAAGATATGAATATTTCTGGAGCACCACAGCTATTTGTAATGCAAAGGAAGTCCAGATCTGGTACTTACTTTGCTCTAAAATATCGTATCTGTTGACAGAACAGAAAACCTGGAAGGGCTTGAAGCAGGATTGAATCAAGAAACATTTGGGCTTGCCACCCATTCTGTGCAGGAGTTTATTTGGGCTCTTGCTTATTTAAAATGTAGCATGCTGCTTCATATACTGCATGTTTCTGTATATGCACTAGAAAGCTAAAAGAAGTTCAGTATTACTTTACCCTGGATGTCTCATCTTCCCATGAAGATCAGTAGTGCTCCTGTTGGTCTCCAAAGTACTAGACAGTCCTAATGCAAGCTGTGAAGCCCTCTGTCCCCCCAAATTTCCCCCACCATAGTTAAGAACTTTTATTAATTGTTCCAACTGCAAAATCCACTTGTGCTGTGAGTCACATCTTGTGAGCTTTTGGAATTGAAGTTGCATTGGAAATGCTTAAAATGTAGCAGAAATTTTGGTAGCAGTAGTATAAAAACATTAAAAACTCTCTTTTTCAAATGAGTCAGTAGTATATATGACCCTGGGATTAGCTCAGTTGGTTCCAGCATGGTGCTAATAAAGCCAAAGTTGTGGGTTCAATCCCTATACAGGCCATTCACTTAAGATTTGGACTTGATGATCCTTGTGGGTCCCTTCCAACTCAGAATATTCTGTGATTCTGTGATGTGCAATTGTGTCAGCATTCCAGAATATGCTGTTTAGAAACACATCCAAGGAGACTTAGGAGGGTGTGAGTGCACTCACCAGTTCTGCTTTTCCTCTACATCTATTATTAATTCATATTGTCCCTGAAGAAATCTTACTCAGCTCCATTACTTACACTACAAAAAACCAAAGTATTTATGAAATAGTAGGAATGTCGTTCTTAAAAAGCAGTTTTTAAACACTGTTTCAGTTCTAAAGATTTTTCAAAGGTACTGGGTAGGTTTCAGTGCATATTGGGAATTTAAAAAAAAAATTAACTCAAAGAAATTTTAATAATATTTTAAATTATTGATGCCATAGGTGTCACAGTTCGTCCAAAATTCTGGTTGGTAGGCCACTAGCAAAGAGAATTGTTACTGTCTTGCACTTGTTATGAGTAGTGGAGAAAAACACCTTGGAAACATGAAAAAGCAATTGTAAATGAGTAAAAAGGAAGACAGTCTAGCTGCTGTGTTCAGAAGCATTTGTATGTGTCCAGAGCAACTTAAAGAAGAGAGGAGATCTAAAGGAGACAGCAGTGAGGCAGCAGAGCAGTAGATCTTGATGTCAGGAAACGAAGAAAAATGAGTAACTGCATGCCTACATATGTGTATCAGAGTAGTGGAAGGTAAGTAATAATGACATATGCAGATTTGGAGGAGGAAAGGGAAGAAGTTGGGCAGGGGAAGGGATAGAAGAGGAATTTAATTAAGGGGGTGGAGGGGGCCAAAGTAGGTACTTATTTTTTTGTAAAAACCAAACTGAGTTTTCCTACCAATTAGGAAACTTGAT